TAATGTGTTGTAAAAAAAGCAAAATTTTTGAGTTTGCATTTGAGGATAGCACTATCCTTGGAGGAGGGGGAGTTGTCCAACGGGCCCACAGATTTTTTTATGCCTATGTTGCACTGTGGGTCTTTTGGGGTGTTTGTGTTTGGGTATGGGGTTTCGCGGACACATTATCGACTTAGTCGGGGGTCGGTATGACTCCTTTTCACCCTGGGACGACCTTATGGAGATAGCCCATGACGCCCCTGTTAAAAATCACGTGTCGTTTTTTAAAAGGTTTTGGGGTGTATACAGTGGCGTTTTATTTGCACAGTAAGGAAGTAAGGTGTTTTGGGGTCTGGCGTTTTTGGGTGCCCCCCCCAAAATTTATTTTATATCATTACCCATATGTTTTTAAGGGGTTAATGGGTAGTGCTATTTGTGTCAAGGGTGATACCTTTTCTCCCCATTAGGGGGGACTACCCATTGAATGTAATACCCATTAAATATGTCCAGATAGTTTGTCTTGGTGTTGCCCCAAAAGACATGACATTTTTTTTTTTTTTTTTTAGGTAACTAAATATTGACAAAAAATTTAAAACCCGATGTAAGGGAGGGGCCCATGTTTTGCTAAACTTGTTTTGTGGAAAGTATCAGTCGGGGAAGGGTAATGTCACAACCTTTTAAGTACTCAGGACCACACGTAAGGTGTGCACCCAGGGTTGACCAGAGGTCGGGGGCCGTCCTGGTCAAGTCCGTTCTGTGATGCACGGGGGAAACCCGCGCTAGGATAAAGCAAGAAACCCTGAATGTTTTTTAGTAACACGATGACTGTTCGGGGGATGAGTGGTGAACGGGGTAAAGAGACACGAGGTAGAAGGAAAAAGGGACATTCGGGGCGTCGGTCAGAAGAGAGGATTTTAGAAAAGAAGTTTGTTTATGTATTAAAGTTAGGATATATTTCTTTTATGATGGATAGTTTAGTACAGTTTTGTGTTAGGATAGGTGTTCTTTTGTAGGTATTTTTGTTATGGCTGTGAGAGAGGGTAAACCGGACACTCGACCCTGCACTAAGACAGAGACGGCAGTTTTTTTTTGGGTCAGGGGTGGCGATAGAAAAAGGTATCCCGCCGATTTTGGGTTTTTTACACCAGATATTTCCGTGCCCGTACGGGGACGGGGGATTGTAAGCCCGTCCAGCCCGAGGGTCCAGGGGAATAGGTGGCCACACGGCGGACTCAGACTGTCTATGTATTACCTGTACTTCCAATCAAGATTGTCGTGTGTGCTCTGTGTGCTTCGTGTTCATGTGTGTTGGTCGGTTAGTCTGTCTGTCCATAGCCTATTTAGCCGAGCCACGGACCGGCAAGGTCCATACCAGAGGTTTTGTTACAACTCCCCTATCATCATACGACCCATACCACTATATGATTAATCTAAATGGAAAGAGACAGTTTTACGTGTTTTTTTCTAAACTATGAAAAAAATTAACATCATACTTGGATGACAACATAAGGGACAGTTCTAGTAATCATATCTTCTGGATAATTAAAGTACCACCTGTGATATGCTTTGATGGTCATCTTTTCCTCCACGTACTAACGTGTCAACAGTCATATTGGATTGGGTTCTTGGCCTTCTCTGGGCAGTAATAGTCATGGATTAGCACTGAGTGTACATGAAAACCTCGCAAACCTGTTGATAACCTGGCAAAAGCACGGCCAAAAAAAAAAAAATATAATAAAATTTTTTATACTATATATATACTATATTTATCTTATATATATATATTATAATAGAATTATATATATATAATATATATATATATTATATATGATATAATATATATATGTTTATATATATAATATATATATTATATATAAAGTTAATTATAAGGAAAACAGTCTGATAAAGAAATTAATATCTGCTAACTGGAAATCATACAATTAAGCAGAGGCAGAAGGACAACATGAAAATTGCAATGGAACCAAAGAAACCTATAACTAAGGAATATGGACAAAATGTGTATCCAACCACTGAAATACAATAGGCTACAGAATAAAAATCTGCAGTGGCTGTGGAAAGAAGTTTTCCTACAGGCGACGGTCTTGGGTTTCATTCTTCACTGGTACATTGACCTTGGCTCCTAAGTCGGCCCAGACTAGAATGGACACCAAATTAAAGAAACATGATAGTAAAGACGGAACAATGTGATACTTGTTCACCACATACATCCAGTTGCAGATTAGTACAAAAATATGCATGCCGTAAAGTTGCCAACAGCAACTGGATAAAATTATAGTTTTCTTCCTTCATCTACCCATTGTAACTGAATGACATTATAAATGTTTTTTATATCTGTATATCGGTCCTGAAAATATATCTCTGTATCAGTATGTATTTTCCTGTTAAATTCATACTATAAATATATTTCTTTCTCTATATATTAATTTGGTTAGATCTCTATATAAATCCTCCCCCTGTGTGGTTTCCCGGACCCTAATGTAGGGAATACAAGAACAGGCCCACTGCCGTCCCAATAAGCATGCGGTAAGAGCCGACTAATTAGAGCTTTCTTCATCATAGTCAAAGTGGATCTGCATCGAGATGGCAAAGAACCTACAGTTTTGCATACAAAGCAAGCACAGATCTGTAAAACAGAACTGCCATGTACCATTAAAGTTCTGGCAACCAGATTAAAGACTAAAAGTGAAAGAAACAAACTATCTATCTTATATCTATCTGCTCCAGCAAATGTTGTATGGTCTATTTAATCTATGTTTGTTTAATCGTTCTTGGTGTTTATTCAATCTATCACATTATTACCCCCCTATATCTCAGCTTTTCATTCTATCAAGTTTGTACACTGAAGTCTCAATTCCGTCTTTAGATCCCTAATATACTGACTTTTTCTTTAGATCTGCCATATGCTGATGTCCTCCTTTTATGTAGATCTGCCACAGGCTGAATGTCGTCCTTTTCTTAAATCTGTCATGGTCTGATGTCTCTTTTTTCTTCAGATTATTCATTATACCAGTGGTCTTCGTCCCTTTTGTATGTTTCATGTGCCAATTGTGTGTGGGGCGGTGGTTTTTTAAAAAAAAAGGACGCAAATAAAAATTGTACAGCCTGGCCAATTTTTTCTTCTTACAATGTTTGGCTGTCAATCATCGGCTATCTTCCGCATAATTAACGGTCCCAAATTATCGAGGCCGAAAATATACCCTAACAGGGCATCACGAGCAGGAGCTACGCAATCTCCTGCAGCTTCCTTTTCATTTTATTTGCTCGTGAGTCCCAGCCATCTAGTTTAGCCCCCAATCCATGCCGCGCGTATCTGCGCGTGGGGTATACTCTCAGCTGTGGCAGAAGTCGGCAATATGACATGTGAACTGAGGCCCTGTTAGGGTAGATTTTTTTGGCCTCAATAATTTGGGACCGTTTATTCAGAAGATAGCCGAATCATCTAAAAGGTAGAATTTGTCACCTCTCTCTATGTACAAAATTTCTGTAGAAGAGTTCTGGAAAGACAGGCAGATCTTTTTGAGGAAATTACCATTTTTCTTCTTCATCGTTCCCATTTTAGGTGGCGTTCGGCACCCTGTGGTTTATAGCTAGGCTGCGACATTCACACCTTTAGGTTCAACATATCTGGTTTCAGCAAGCTTCCAGCTAGCTGCCTTTTATGATATGCTTGTTAGGGCCCACTATCTCAAATGTGACTCCAGAACCAGCGTGGGGTGTGGTAATTATTTGAAAAATGCACACTGAAGTCTCATACCCTGATCTCTGAGCTAAACATATGCACAGCTAGGTGTGAAACACACATCCATGTCATAGGAATGAAAGGAGAAAAAAACAACACTTACCAACCAACAATAGTTTCACTGCTGTTGACCTTCTTGTGCAGCTCATACATGTTGCGGGCATACTCAATATCAACAGCAACCTGTGTGAGAGAAGTATATTACCAAACATGACAAAGAAAATAAGAAAAACTGGCAAACCAGACATAACAAATCTATTGAGATAAAGAAGAAAACAAATTGGATGAAATACTTTAACACTTCTGCATATGCAGAAGAGGAACAACACTTTAATCAAATGACAGGAGCCCCCCTGTGGGTTCCGGGGCCCCATTGTGGGGAAAACAAGAATAAGAACTAATTGGGGAGCCAACTGCCTCCCCAAAAGCATGTCGTAAGAGTCGAAGTACACGCAACACCAGTTGGGGCAGGAGCTTCCTTGGATGAACCCAGAACCCTCAGAGTGCATCTGCCGGAGAGGCAGGGAACCAACAGTCTGTAATTCAAGAGAATGAGATCGGTAACTCAACTGATGCATCTTGTTCACGCAATACACTCAGGTTCTGGGGCAGGACTGATGCACAATCTTCAGTCTTGTTCATCCTAACTTGAGTATCTGTGTGCAAATATCTGATTTCCAGATCTTGTTTATTGGTATGCAGACTGTGGGGCAAATCCTCCCACTCAGTTCTCCGCTTTGTGCCTAAGTGCAATGTGAGCGCTTCGTCAATGCCGGGTGTCGATCCCAGCTGCGGGCCATGCGCCTTGCGTTGGTTTTTGACAGTGGTATCAAGAAAGCCGACCGTCCAGGAAGCAATTGCAAACTACTGGACGTAAATTTGCCTAGAAAAAAACCACACAACAGCCAGGGGCTGTTGGGGTTGGTTTCTGCAACGTCCTGTAAAGGATACGCAACTAACCATAGTTAATGCTACTGGCTGCTTTTGCACATGTGCAAACGGTAAGTAGAAGGTCCATGATATGAACTACATTAACTTTGAAGAAGAAAAAGAAAGAAAACTGGGGCGGGGAAAGAAAACGGGGGGGGGGGGGGGGGGGGCCTATTTTAACCAAAAACAGCTTTTTTAAAAGCCAAATTAACGACAAATTTTTCCCATTGTCTCACTGATATAGGTTCCTGATAAGGGCCACCCCAATACATGTTTTTGTCCAGCCGTTGGGGAATGTATTCCATTCAATGCTTCGCGTGTTCGTATTTATTGATTACTTCCTTCAAAGATCTTTATATATTTCAAAAAGAATTTTAAAAGAATGCAACAGGTTTTTTTATGGATTTATTCATGCGCTGTGCAAATTTTTGTATTCTAGGTTTTTTTAAATGGAATTCCAATGGGGTCCATGGACCCATTTAAAAAAAGAAATACCGGGGCGACAAGATTTATGTTTTAATAACATCAAACAATTAAGATTTCTATCAAACACAGCTTTGATGACGACAGCTACAAGAATTTATGTCGGTATACAAGAAAAGTACAAGGACTAACATCATGCAGCGCTCTGTGGCTTAATGTTTGTGATCATGCTCGACAACAAACATCCCAGTGTTCAATTTTCTGAATCGAGCGCTATTTTTTAAAAAAAAGGCTACTCATACTTTTGGAAAGTGGTATTCTTCTTCATGTTCACCAGCTGTAAACTCCAGAAAAAAGTTCCCTTTTTTGGGGTAAACTTATAGTCTTGTTCCAGAACATGTTAAGAGAGCTGATCTAATTGTAAGTAGACTACTGGTTCCTTACCTTCCAAGAGATGCAATCTGACTTTGAAGGAAACACCTTTAATTAGTCAACTTTTACAACATGCTTGAAAGGAAAATAGGGCACCGATTCTTTTTTTTCTCCCACAATATTGGGGCACTAGAACCCATACGGGGAGAGTCACACTAGAAGTGATTGGTGCCTCACCACTTTTTATATTAATAAAGACAGCAATGAATTTACCACTGTGGAAATGGTACAAACTAAAAAAAAAGTCATAGGTTATCAAGCAAGGTAGCAGCTGAACATTTCAATTATTCAAACCTTAATTTACCTCATCATCAGATTCATTGTGAGGAACTGCAAAACAATTGGTCACCTCAACAACTCCTTTTTCAACAGTTCCTGTGAAGAAAAAAAAAAGGAGTTGTGTAGAGGTTCTGAAGAGACTAGGATTTGAAAGAAAAGAGCTTCTGAACAACAACAAAAAAATTATAACTACATTTAGATAAAAATACGTCTTTTTAAATGTAGCTGAAATATTTTGTGTTTTTGTGTGTGTCAGGTAAAAACACTTTTGAAGAAACAAATGGAAAAGTCAAAAGCAAGTGAGCAAGAAGTAGACAAAAATGAAACAGCAGAATGACACAAGAGATGGGCAAACAGCAGTCTGAAAGCCTACAGGGTACACAAAGACCAGAAGATAGTGTGTTGGATCCATGCAGCCAACCTCGACTGTGAAGACAACAGTCATTACTGAAATATAAATTAATCATTGCTGATAAAAGTTAAGTTCTCTATTTAAAATTATAGTAGACTGGTAAACATACAGGTGCTGGTTACCTGCTGTCCTAATGTGACTGTGTCGACTAAATTAAACTCAGTATAACCAGCTCCTGTAATTAACTCTAAGAATGTTGTTTGCTCTGAATCAGTGTTGTTTTTATTTATATACCACAAAGAAGGCATAATGAAACTAGATATCTAAATCTTCTTTTTTGCGTTCATTTGCACACCAAAAAAAAAATTGCAAACTCTGGCGGAAAGTTCTGGTTGTTCATCCACCTCTGGTCTTTAGGCTTGTTCCAGCACCGAGTGTTGTGTGCACACCCATTTTACAGATCTGACTTGTTTAATTTGTATGCAGACTGTTGGTTCCTTGCCTCTCAGGGAGATGCACTCAGACGGAAACACCCATGATTTAGTCGACTCTTATGACATGCTTGTTCAACATTTCAACAAGTTGTTGGGTAGGCAGTAAGAGTGGTCTATTCTTGTTTTCCACACAATAGGGCCTCGGAACCCACACAAGAAAAAACTAGATATTTGTTGACACTGAAATTTCCAGCAGGGATATCATTTTATAATTATTGTAACATTAATTATGAAATCCCCCTTGTGGGTTCCAGGGCCCTATTATAGGGAGAACAAAAATAGACCCACTGCCTACCCAAAAGCATGTCATAAGAGTCTAATTAATTGGGAGCTTCCTTCGAAGACGGAGTGCATCAGCCTGAGAGGCAAGGCAAGGAACCAACTGTTTGCACAAAAATGAATCACATTCTGTAAAATGGATGCACACGGGCACAAAACACTCAGGTTCTGGAACAGAAGTGGACGAGTTAGTGGATGAACAACCAGAACTTTCCACCAGTGTTTACAGCTGGTGAACACAAAGCGGAAAATTAATCATGAACAGGTGTAAGTTGTAACTCATAACACTACTAGTGTATGATGTGTATAGATGGAGGTATGCAAAATTTCGGCTCTCCTTTCAACTACGGCCGATAGACAAATGTAGACGACCGGTTAGTCGGAGTTTTCTCCCCTGGCTACAGTGCTATTACGGACTGGAGAAGGCACGAATCAAAACACAAAGTGAGCTCGACGTGCCTTGCAGACCCAGCGCTGCGACTTAAATTAGTGACCGTGTTCAATTACCGCGTCTTGCGACGCATTACGGAGTGGACTAGAGAGAACACAACAAGTGACGTAATTACTGTGTGTTGGCGATAGACAGCGTGCACTGCCCTGCTATGATCATTCGATAAGGGTTTGGGTTGGGGGTAGGGTGTGGGTTAGGTTCAGGGTTAAGGTTTGGGTTGCTACTTTAAGTTTGTGCGAAGACGAGATGCGGTGACACTAACCGTAACTAACCCTAACCCACATTATCTGATCAGGGCAGTGCACGCTGTCTATCACCAACACACAGTAAGTCTGTCATTTGTTTCGTTTCCTCCTGTCCAGTCCGTAATAGCACTGTAGCCAGGGGAGAGAACTCCGACTAACCGGCCGTCTACATTTGTCTACCGGCCGTAGTTAAACTAAGTTAAAGGAGAGCCAAATTTCAACATTCAACAGAATCGGAATTGTGACCGAGTATCAGACACTTAGCCAGCCGACACTTCTGTAACAGTAACAGACTAACTAAAGAGTATTATACTGCCCCCCCCCCCTCAAATAAGAAATAACTAGGGTCTCGAGCACCGAGCCACTGGGTGTCGTCATTCCCGGCCCGGTGTGTCAAATCTTAAAACTAACTTATGCTGCGATCTTAAAATTAGTATAAATAACCATCTATCTGTACCGTCAAACACCACCCACACATACATTTAAATAACTATTACCTAATAAAGTTCCAATGACTCGTTTGGCATCTTCATTTCTACGTTCATACGCATCGATGATGCTGAAATAAACCACAGGGTGGACCTTACATACTAGACTCGTGGCCATGTTTGTTTCCAGTAGACTTCTGCGATCCATGTGCTGGAGCTATTCGTACGACTGCCGTAGACTGTAGACACGGAAGTTTCCGTCTATCATTTTGTTATATGTCCATCTCGAAGTCAAAAATTATTTGGAAGCTGCGGAGATGTGGTTTTTATAGACAAATTGTGAGAATACCCTGGACAGATTGTTTGTTTTAGTATCCAGAAGCCATGAGTTGTTAACCCTTAGGCTCGGTATTATGGATATCGCAACCTTTCGGTCTTGATTCCATTGTAAATACCGTAAATCTGGGAGAAATGTGGCTTTTCTGCCTAGCCCCGGGAGTGAACCCGGACCACATGGAGTTCGTCACCCGGTTCCCGTGCAATCCGGTTTAGCCAACTACGCTAGAGAGCCGGGCACCCTGGACAGATAAAAAGAGTAATGAAGATGTTTTGAAAGAAACTGACTAAGAAGAGAACTGATTACCAAAATCAGAAAAAGACTTGTACATCGTAACAGTATCTAATTTGGAGAAGAACAGATGCAGAGGGAGACCGAGATAAAAAGATTCTGAACAGTTTGACATCATGGCATGGAGGATCACCGGTATCAGAGTTGACTGAAAGTGCACGAGACAGAAGGTCGCGGATAGACATGACTATCAAAGCCACACGGCATGGCCTTTGAGAAGATGACAATAAGCCTATGGCAGTCTAAGACATGTTGTAAATAGACGGCTCTGGTCTAGAGATCTACGGGGAATTATTAAACAGTACACCACAAGAGCAAAGCTTTGCAAATGAGGCGTTAATATATCTTAAGACAGAATAAAGTATACATATCACTTTAGATACCCACAACATAGATTACTCAACACGATTATCATAATTATTTTAAAAATTAAATTAAAAATATATTAAATTTAATCATCTATACTTCTACAATCTGTTACAGTTATTACTTTATGTACACAATATGATATATCCCGAAGTAAGTTAGTTAGTCTTTCCTCTTGTGTCGAGTGCGGCACATAGGGCAGAGGTCGTGACTCTCCATGCACGGCGGTCCGTTGCAATCCGTTGTAGGTCTTGGATGTTTGAGTGGCCATGAGCGAGCCTTCCCTGAGGATAGTTCTAAGGTAGGGTTTCCCTTGGTCTTCCACGAGATCTTTTCCCCTGTGGTGTCCAAAGGAGGGGCTTGGTAAGGAAGTCTTGATTTATCCATTCTAAGGACGTGGCCGACATAGTTCCAGCGGCGTTTTCGTATAAAATTAGACACATACTCTTGCCTGGATTCTTGCCTTATTTGTGTATTGGTTCGGAAATCTGACCATTTAAAATTTAGTATTCTTATAAGGCATTTATTTTCAAAACTGTCTAATTTTGTGTCTAGAGTTTTCGTTGATTTCCAACTCTCGCATCTATAGGTTAGTACTGGAATCACACAAGAATTGAAGATCTTGAGTTTTGTGTGTTTGCTAAGTGTCTTTGATTTCCAGATGTTAGACAGTTTATTGAAGGCACTAGATGCCAGTGCTATTCTAAATGATATTTCTGGTGCGGTATCTCCTGTAGATGACATCTTGCTCCCTAGATAAGTGAAACTGTTGACTTTTTCAAGGCTGTTGTTGTTCAGCGTGATATCAACTGAACTGTTGGTAAGGTCTAGAATTTTTGTTTTTGCGGTGTTAATTTGGGGTCCAATTTGTTCTGAGAAATTTCTGGAGTCGATTGATTTTTTCTTGGGCGTCTGTGTGTTCTGAACTCAGGAGTGCTATGTCGTCGGCGAAGTCTAGGTCTTCCAGAATTTTGTCAACCCATGTAATGCCTAAATTTGCGTTATTTATGCACTTGCGCATGACCCAGTCGATTGCTATACCAAAAAGCATCGGCGATAGGACACAGCCTTGCTTCACTCCTGTTTCCACCGGGAACCAGTCAGAATTGCCGGAATCAGTTCTTACACAGCATCGTGTTTCATTATAAAAAGATTTTATGATGTTGATATATTTGATGGGGAAACCATAGATGTTAAGCAATTTCCAGAGTGTTGGACGATGGATACTGTCGAAGGCTTTTTGAAAGTCGACAAAGTTGATCAATAATTTCGACTGGAATTCTGTAGAATCTTCAACAATTATTCTAAGAGTAAAGATGTGGTCTATGCATGACCGCTTGGATCTAAAACCGGCTGTTCTTCCCTTAATCTTTCATCTATGGATTTTTTCAATCTTTCTAGTAGCATACTACAAAATAGTTTCCCTGGTATCGAAAGCAGGGTGATGCCTCTCCAGTTGTTACAATCGGATAAATCACCTTTTTTAGGTAATTTGAAGATTACACCATCTTTCCATTGTTGTGGTGGGTATTCGTTTTTGCCAGACTTCATCCATCAGCTGGAGCAAATGTTGCAGGGTGTTTTCATCCGCTGCTTTGAGCATTTCCCCTGAGATGTTGTCCTCTCCGGTAGCTTTGTTTATTCTTAATTTTTTAATAGCTGTTTTAATCTCCTCTATTGTGAATGACTCGCTGGAGGCAATTAGTGTTGGTGTAATAATTTCTTCTTCTAAATGGGCAATGATGTCAGGATTTGGCCTATTTAATATTTCCTTGAAATGTTCTGCCCATCGCTTTGTTTGTTGGTCGTCGGATAGCAGTAGTTTACCCTGCTTGTCTTTAATGGGTGTATTTAGTGTAGGTGAGTGATTGCACAGTTGTTTCATAATATGGAATACGGCTTTGTTGTTTCCAATCTTGGCAGCTGTTTCAGCATCGGAGGCGAGGTCGTGTATGAAGTTCTGTTTGTCTTTCCTTGCATTTGATTTCACTTCTTTGTCTAGCGTGCTGTATTTTTCGTATGAAGATGTGTCTTTTTTGGATAAAAGTGTTAATTTTGCTTGTTTCCTTTCTTGGATTTTTGACCAAGTGTTGTCGCTTAGCCACTTCTTCTTCTGCTTTTGTACATAACCAACTGTGTTTACTGCAGCGTTCGTCAGTGTGTTCTTGAAAAAGTCCCAATTTGTGTCTATGTTATTTGTAGTATCCGCATTATTAGTTTTGGTTACATAGGTGGTGAGTATCTCTGCATTAAATGCGCTTTGATGATCTTTTGACAAAAGGGCTTGTAAGTTTATTTTCTTATTTCTGGGTGGTTTAAGTAGAGACTTGAGTTTAATTTTTAGTTTGGCAATACAAAGATTATGATCACTGCCAATATCAGCTCCCCTGTAGGCTCTAACGTCTTGCACTGATGTACGGAATTTGGCGCTGATGCAAAAATGATCTATCTGGTTTTTTGTTATGTTATCTGGCGAAATCCAGGTTATTTTATGTATGTCTTTATGCGGAAATAAGGAGCTTGCTGCTGTTAGATTTGCTATTTCACAGAGTTCAATTAGCCTCTCTCCGTTTTGATTCATATCTCCTGGGCTGTGTACTCCCATATATTTTTGAACACCTTTGTTGTCAGACCCTAACTTGGCATTAAAATCGCCCATTACAACAAGGAGGTCGTGCTTAGGAGTTTTGTTTATGACACCAACCAGGAGGTCGTAGAAATTATCTTTGTTGCTGTCGGTGTCGTTGTTTGTAGGTGCGTAGCACTGTATAATAGTTAGTTTGAAATGTTTGGTCTGAAAACGCGCTGTTAAAATTCTGTCATTTACTGGTTCCCAGCCGATTAGCGATTTTTCCGTTGTTTTTGAAGTAAGTGACATGCATAAATATCCAGTTAATAAATATTTTATTTATAATTATAAACAAAATGTTTTGAACAGGATATCATTGTTTAAACTATTACTACTTTGCTGCTGCTACTACTACTACCACCACCACTACTGCTACTACTACTGCTACCAACGTTGTCAGTACCACGCCAGTCGTAAGCTTTTGCGGTGTATTCATTGAAAGAAATAGACATGGCATTTGACAAATGCTTGTCATATAAGTAGCACATATAAAACGTTATACTTAGAAACAGGAAAGGTATGACAGCTCTCACTGTGCTAGCAGCAACTGATATTGAACAACGCCTACCTTTCTTTCCCTTTTAAAATTATTGTATTGAGCGTCATTGACTATGGTCTGGGCCTCCTCACTGTCAGCAGAACCCAGATAGGAAGACTGGACCGAGTACAACATGTCATGAGACTCATACTCGGCTGCACAAAAGACACCTCCTGCAACGCCATGCGTTATGTCCTGGGTTGGCCGATGATGACTAGCAGATACAAAGTCGCACAGGTCAAGGCGTACAAATGGGTATCGGTAGACGTTAACCACCCACTGCACTATAGACGACACAAAAGGAATGCGTCTCAAAAGAAACCGCTGCTGTATGGCCAAGACTGAGACCTAGACGAGATCAGTCACGGAAAAAAAATTGATGAATATACAAGTAGACATGCATGGTATCTCTAAGGTTGATATAACCTCGATATAACAGTGGGAAGGTACTACAGGGGTCAGATTCACAGAGGTAAGGGCACTGGTAGATCAGCATTCGCATCCAGAAGACATCATCATCTAAACAGATGGATCCGTCAAGCGCGGACCAAGGTCAGCATAGGCATACACAGAACAAAGAATGGGGAAAGCAATACAAGAGGACAGCGGCGCTTACCAGACAACTACGCCAAGCCTGGCCATGGAGCTTCTAGAGCAACAGCATGGGCAAAATAGGAAACCGCCACACAGGCGGTGATGCAGTATGCGCTCTGAATAGGTAGAAAGCATTCGAAAACAGCACTTAACCTTCCTCACCTGGATCTACACACTTGGTCATGCTGACGGAAAGGGTAAACTCTGTAGAGTATCTGTGTCAGAATTGATTGAAAGTACATGGAACAGAAGATTGTGGATAGGTATGACTAACAACGCCACACGGCATAGACTTTTAGAAAAAGAAGAAACTATAATTACCCCAACAGGACGGCAATTGGAAAATGGAGAAATGGACGACCTAAGGGAACCCGGAGAAAAATAATAGAAAGGAAAACCTAGAAATTCAAAATAATATTAGAC